ATAGCGTGTTATCTCCCTTTGTTTTCTACTTTCTGATTTCTTTTTTTTTTTTAATTAACTTCCTCATCTTTGTCATTTCCTTTAACTTGTTGAATGCAAGAACTCTCTGTAGAAATTTAACAGTTAAATTAATAGGAACCATTTTAATAGTCCTCTCTTCCCAGTTACATCAAAAAATAAGAAAAATGAATTTCCTCAAATTAAGTTAAATCCTATAATAATTTATAGATAAAAGCAGTAAGATTTTCTTGTTATAAGATTGCTGATACTGGTTTATTGTACTTTAAAATCTTCACTATTTCTAGAATGGTGTGAACAATTTTAATTTCTGCAGAAATATCAGATTTTATTTGAACTTCTGTTATTCTCCTTCAAATTTCATGTGAGCCTCACTGTCCACTTCAATACCAGACCTCAACAACTTACTCCATCCCGTGTCCACCTCTGTAAACCAACAGTGACTTAGTGATTTAAACAGCAAACTACCATATTGGTGAGGTTACTTTTAATTTCAAACCACTTTGATATAACCCTTACATATTAGCAGTTAATATTTCTAAAAATGACAATCTTCACATCCTATAAATAGTGACTGCATTTTTTTTTATACTGGACTTGAATGCTGTTCATCTTCTAAGGCTATATAGGGTCCTTTAAATAAGTGGCTTGGGTTTGAGCCAAGGATCTGCATAATCTAAAGTTCACATTGTTAACAACTTGTGGGATACATTACGGATCACACCTTTCTCTTTTTTTGGCAGAAAGTTATATTTGCTGAAAGCAGCACTGCTAATGTTTAAAGTAATATAGATGTCAAATTCAGAAGGATTTGGCAAAGTTATGAGCAACATCCTTCTCTTTAGTTTTTTCTCTCTTTGTTTTCTAAATAAAGATTTATATTACACTTCTGTGATTATCTTTTTAAATTTATTTCTGAGCAAATCTAGAAAATTTTGTGATAGGTTATGGATATCACCCTCGAATATTTTTCTTATTTAAAGTAACTGTAGATAATGTTTGTCCATAACGAACACCTGTTTCACCCCAGAAAGCTCACTAGAGGAGGGGGGGGGTTAAAAATCAGATTTTTAAGTTATACAAAAAGATAAATCACGTCTGCCTTCATAGTTGCCACTTTTTTTCTTTTTGTCTGTCTCTTGCTTGCTTGCTCGCTCGCTCACTTTCTCTCCATCATTTGTGGTCAACTAATTTTTCCCTATATTTGTGTGGAAAGTATCAAGAAAATTTATAAAAGTGCTGTTTTGGTCCTCAACATAAAAAAAGGTCTCTGTCCATGACTTTCAAAATTTCAAGAAATATTCTTTATCTTTAGATTAATATCTGATACACTCTGGTTTGGTAAAGATTGTCCTCAACCCAATCAATATTGAAGGAGAACCCAAGAAAGATATAATCCTTACTCTGCAGTTTTTTTTTTTTTTGTTTTTTTTGTTTTTTTTTCTCACTCTTACTCTCTCTCTCTCTCTCTCTCTCTCTCTCTCTCTCTCTCTCTCACCTCAAATTTAATGAAAGAGCTCAGATCTGATGTCACTATATTCTCGCCCATCCCCAAGGGACCTTAACTTCAACATTTGAAACACTCATCGCTAAAAAAAAAAGAAAAAAATAAGTCATAATGCACAAGCATTAAGAGAAAAAAAAGTGGGGGGGACTTCTACACAAAGAATTATTTTTTCAAGAACCCCCCTCCTCCACCTCCAATTGACATTTTTCATTTATATTGTTTTCAAAACCTTTTTTTTTTTTTTTTAAGACTTAATCTAAATAAATTACCCAAATATTTTCGATACCAGCTGTTTTGTTTTCTTGTGTTTGAATGAAAGAAGTTAATACCTCTTTTTATGTAAAAACAACCAACCTTCTTTACTCTCCAGATACAATAAAACACTTACCGAAAGTCTTTGAGCTCCCAGTCCAGCAAGATCACTATACAATTGCAGATTTGACAAATATACTTGGTTTATTCATTAAGTTTTGCTTTAGTCCCTGACATTCCTTAAATACTGGCCAGGTCTGGTAAGAACCTGTAATCATAAACATTTAATAGAATAAATGATTATTCTTCAGCTTGTAGCACATGTAAAAATATTCTAATAAGAATGAACAAAGAAGCTCCTCTCCCAACTACATTCTGCCCAAATAATTATTTGCTACTTAATCCAAACTTTGCTTTTGATCATTTTAATTGATTGTCATTATTTTTAAAAAATAGAGTTAATTACCTTTCACTGACAATATAGTTTCTTTAACAAGTAGATTTTAAAAATCAATCTCTTTTCTATTTGGCTATAAAGATAAGTTTCATTGGACTTCCTGCCTTATTTTATTTCAATGTATGTTTTGGTCTAATGGATACTGGCTCGGAATGAGAAGTCAGAGAGCAAAGTTCAAATCCAAGACTGGTTTGTTACATTCACTTGTGGGTTGAATAGCAGGATAGCCTTAGTTGGCAACCAGGCTACTACAGAAAGAAATAGCAATATTCTGCAGGAAAATCTTCTGTCTAGTCAGTCATGAATTGAAAGAGACAATGATTGCCCAAGCGTGTATCACGTATGACACTTAACTGACTGGGAAAGACCACAAATGTTTGGAATTGAAAATTCCTAGCCTCTTGACTAAAACCGTGGCTTGTCAGTAGAGACATTAATGTGTAATAACACCAAGTTTCTTTCTCTAATTGTCATGTTCTTTCAGGATGTGAGCAATTATGGCTCTCCATAACTTCCTGTCTTTTATTGTTCTAAGTAACTTTTGACCCTTTACAATCCTTCTTTGTTCTTGTTTTGCTATTCATTCACCCAAACTCATTAAGTAGGTTACTCACCGCCCCCCCACCTCCTCCTTCATTGGTTATTAAATACAATGAGTAAAGAACTTCTTAGAACCATTCACTTTTAAAATATTATTTTTACTGCTCTATAATTTCTCATAAAACCTAAAAACAAAGTGCTTTATTTAAATTTACTGTAGACAAAACAGGACTTTTATTAGATGAAGCATTGTCAGCCATTATTGATTTTGACCAGTATTTACTTTCATTTTGATTTTTACGGTGGAAGTAAATACTAGTCAGAATTAGTAATAATAGGTTGTTTCTAATGCATTAAAACATAATTTCTCTATCTATTGGTTTAAAATAATACTGTCAACCTACAAACTAGTGGAATAATGACCATTTCATTTACTGACCAACTTGTGCATTTTCCTTGTTAATATCGATTTGTTTCAAACTTGACTGAATGATTAACCTGAAAATATTTTTACTTCACTGTTTTAAAAAAGATTCTTACATTGGCAATTTTTAAAAAATGCCTGATCACAATAATTTCACAATAATGACATGATATTTACCTGAACAGAAAAAGTTTCGAGAAAAAATTAGAAATCATTATCACATTAATAGCTTAACGAAATCAAAATTATGCTAGTGCAGTTTTTCTTCCTCACAGATATCAAGATTTTATTATTATTGGCTAAAGAGGATTTATGCTATTGATGTCAAAACTTGCTTTCGGTTTGATATACCGTGGAAATTCTAGAAATAATTAAAGTGTTTTTGAGATGTGACAATATTAGACTTATACTGAAACACTTATTTTCAAATGTGTATCTTATATATAAAGAAAAAACAGCTTACATACATCAAAACTCCATTTTACACTCCATAATTTAGTGCCAATTTGGATAGAACTTGATTGGTCGCTTAAATTAAAATAAATTTTGATTTATTTCTTATATAATTATATATGCAGCCACATCATGTTGAAATGCCAATTCCTATACAATCACTGAAGTTAGTCAATGTTGATCTTGGTCAGTACCGAGAAGGTGATGTGTAAGCTTGGATGTGCAGGTGGTGTAATGGACAATGGCTTGGAATTGTTAACTGGAGAGCCAAGTTCAAATTTGCATTGGGTTTGTTATATTCACTTATGTGCAAATACCCTTCTCCTCTCTGCTATGGGTTAATTAGTAAGATTTGTATCACTTAACTATTATCCCCCCCCCAAAATTCTTACAATTTAAAAACATTTCCTGGCTTCAAATAATCTACAACAGGTTGATAAGCCGCAGAAAACGAATCCATCAATCAGTCAATTATAAAGATATATATATTTTATAAAAAATACTTGAGATATTGAACCCTAATTTATTACATCCAGCTTTTTTTTTCTTTGACAGTGATAGACCTTATTGATTGATTATAACAGTGATATTGTAGCAAAGGAACAGTTTTGTTTATTCAAAATATAAAAATGAATTTGACATGAGTAAAGACAAAAGGAAAACTTAGCTGACATATTTTGTCCTCTGAGGGAGTTTATCAAGGCAAATGTAAAGATTTTATTTTGTGACAAGTACTTATAGACAACAACAAAAATGTTAGTGGTTTTGCAAAAATTTTTGGTATAAGGGTGCTCATGAATATTCATGAGGTTACTGGAAAAGTCAGGCAAATCAATGGACGTGAGGTGATACCATTCAATGCCTAATAAACAAGAGTAGGAGATACACAGCAACACACACACACGTGTGTGTATGTAAATTAACATCATGCTTAAATTTAAAAATGATTTTCTGGCTCCATAACACATCAGTCATTAGCACATATTTTCTTTTGTATAAGCAAATACATAGCTAATAATTATATATAGATTAAAGAAATCGATGAATTTCAATTTATATTTTCTATACATGTTTTAGAAGTTATTGCTGTTTATATTTTTAGACTTTCACACCATTCAGTCTTCCATTATTGTTTTTCACAGCTGCTCTTGTATCCATCTTGTACGTCTTTCTCATGATTAACACTGCGTTTACCATCATTTTTCTATTTCCATAATATTTAGAATAATTAAGATTAAGACATTAAATTCAAAGGCATGAAGATTAGTAAAAAATAAAAATCTTTAAATTCATCACAATATTAATTTCTTTTAGAAATATTTACTACCTCTAACCCAGATAATTTGGGCTTATGGCCACACCATGTTGAAACACCAGTTACCACGTGATCACTGAAGTTAAGCAACATTGAGCCAGGTCAGTATCTAGATAAATGACCATTTGGGAATATCAGGTGCTGTAAGCTATGATGTGCAGGTATTGTAATGGATAATGGCTCAGAATTGTTAATCAAAGAGCTGTTGAGTTAATTATATTCACTTATGTGCAAATACCCTTGGTAAAAGGTATGAACCCACCTCTTCTCCCCCCAGCTATGGGTTAATTAAAAAGTATCACTAAACATACAATTAATTGTATCACTAAACCATTATTATCTCAAAAAAAATTCTTACACTCTAAAAATATTTTTTGGCTTTAAATAACTTGCAAAGGGTTAATAAACTGTAAAAAATGAATCAAATACTGATTCGCTACACAGCCACGTCTTTTATATTTATTTACATTCTCTGGAATATAAAATATAGAAACTGCCGCAGTCACAAAGTGAGGGATCAGTTTATATACTGATTGTAATATAGAATTGATCCTCCACTTCATATCCACATTATTTCTTGTTTGTTTATCAAATTCCCTCTAGCTATGGGTTAATTAGTAAGACGTGTATCACTAAACCATTATTTCAAAAAAAAAATTCTTAAATATAAAAAAGATTTTCTGGCTTTAAATAATCTGCCAAGGGTTGATAAGCTGTAGAAAATGAATCAGTTAATAAAAAAAGCAGAAAACTTGTTACATTTAGTATATAAAAATGTGTATGCAAATGATGTCAACTATTTGGGGACAGATAAGATTTTTTTTCTCAATATTTAAAACCATTGCAAATTGTGATTAATTATTCTGTTAATTTCTTCACTTTAAGAGAATTTGACTAATCACAGTAAAATTAGATTTTTATAAAAAAAAAAAAAAATGCAACAATGTTTAACAAAATACAGGAATAAAGAATTAAGGACATATTTACTAAATAATCACTTTTTATGCATTTTAAGCCAGTCTACCTTCTTGGGTTTATGTCCCATCAGCCTTTCACCCTTCACTAATTCTACAAACCTAAGAAGATTTTAAAGTCTTCAATATGTTGCAAAAAAGAAACAAATAAGGAGACGTTTTTCTTTTTCTTTTTTTTTTTTTTAACCGGTGACTCAGCTTAGTTTCAATAAAATGTCTCAATAATATTTTTATGATAAATGTCTTGATAATTTCCAAGCTTTTGGGCTCTTTATCCTCTATAATATAACATTATTATTAATTACTACCAGAAACTGAAAGAAATTACCTGCCATCTTGTTTAACAATTCTGCCACTTTACAGTACCAAGTTAGATGCTTTCTTCTACCCCAAATTAATCTCATATAAAACAACCAATAGATGCCAAGTCTTCTAAAGGCAAAGGATCTGCTTGGTCATTACATGCTTATGTTTGTAAAATCTACAATATAAATATGAAACATTTATTATTGAAAGCATGAAAAGCAGAATAAGATGCACATGTGTAGACTTTGGGCAAGTGATTTAATCTGTTTTAAAGTAACCAGTTTTTTAGTAACTTTGTTATAACTATACAAAGCATCAAAAGGAAAGGAATTGATGCCAAGGCTCAACTGGTGGACATGTTCTTTGTCAATTTGGATTGGAATTTTATTACTGTTTAGACTCCTCTCAGAGCCAGAAGTGTTTCTAGTGAAATCAATAATTTGAATATTTATTTTCCAAGAAACATAACATAGGGTTATTTCTCAGCTGGTAATTTTTTTTTTTTTTTTTTATACCAAGGAGAAGAAAATATCTTATGTTGGATGCCCAATGGGGTTAGTCTTGTACTAGGGTGTTAGAAAGATCCTGGCTCTCTCCCTCTCTTTCTCTCACATTCTCTGTTGTCACTTCAGACTTGTACAAGCAGATTTGTACCAAATGAGTGTGTGTGTCTGTATGTGTGTGAGAGTTTGTGTGTGTGCGTGCTTAGTACTTACAAATAAGGAAATAGCACTATTTACTTTGACCTATCCAAACAAAAAAAAAATGGCCCAAAAAGAAAAAAAAAAATAAAAAAAAAAAAAAAAAAGGTAAAAAATATATATATACTTGATGTTATATATTTTTATAAAAAAAGCTAAACTTTTTTAAAGATTTTTTTATTATGTGGGGGTTTAAAAAAAAAAAAAACCATCACCATTTTCTCTCTATCTCTCTCTATCCTTTCAACATGCAGTCATTTCTTTTTGTTTTTTTTTTCATCCTCACTCTTTTCTCTACCATCATTGTTTTGTCCCTCTTCTTTCTATCCTTTTTTGCACCCTCTTTTTTCTATCTTTTTTTTCCACTCCTTTTCCTTCCTTGTCAATTCTTTCTCTCCACATCCTGTTCACAAATCTCTCTCTTTCTTTTTGAAAGGCCAGTATTGTTTTCTTTATCATTTATTACTTTACCTCATATTGCAATATGCCTTTTTTTCTTTAACCTTCTAACTGCATTAATAGACTCTTCAAGGTCACAGGAAATAAATATTTAAAGAAAAATATTAACTACATTAGCAAATTTTATTACTAGAGTATTGCCTGCAATAAAATCTTACTGCAAAGAAATGGTGCATTAAGGATGGAGTTTGGTCACATGACTATACCTGTCCTCGACTTTTTTTTTTTTTTTTTTTAAATATTCTGCTGTTATGGGAAATTGTTTGTTTCCTAACTTTTTTTTTTTTTTTTAATTTCAGACAGAAAAGGCATATTTGTAATAAGAGGAATGAAAAAAAAAAAAGTTCATTTATTTTTATTTTTTGCCAAAATATTTTCACATTTTGTAACCTTTTTTTTTTTTTTTTTTTTTTTTTCAAAAAAAAAAAAGAAAAAGTCTTCTTTCTTCCATACTTTTCTCCCTTCCCACCCCCACAAACTTTCCTACCTTCTCACTTGTTTTTCTGTTTGGGCCGATGTATAATCCAGCCATTCCGTAAACGTTTATTTTTTTTTGTAAATTTTATTGCATGCCCAATAAGTGAACATTAGTATTGGCTTCTAATAATGCCAGTGAATATTGGGTTCCTTTTGCAGCACCAGGGAATCCTTCAAATTCCTATTTACCATTTTCCACTCCTTCTCTCAACTTCATATTCTTACTTCCTTAAGTAATAATTACATCCCTGCCCCTATAAGATTTTACAAAAAAATAAGACCAGCAAAAATTGTGGGTGGGAGGAGAGATAGAGAGAGAAGAAAGCAACAGTTTTATTTATTTACTAAGCTCTGCTTAGTCAGGCACAAGGCCACAAGTTGCTTACGGTACTTGATGTTCCTAAGTGGTCACCCATTTCAGTACTGATCATATTTGATGCTGCTTAACTTTGTCGATCAGATGAGAAACAATGGACCCTGAACCAGAAAACAATATGGGATGGCAAAGAAAGTACAAACGGACAATTTTTTTTCTTCTTTATTTGTTCTAGATGTAAAGATCTTTTAATTGAATCTTAAAAATTCCAATCTCTGACCTCCTTACATCTTCCTCAGTCCCAAAAATATTTAACTCTTTCCCATCCAAAACTGCCAAAAAAAGCTCAAAAATAACTTTAACATCGAAATGAGAGTCTGACTCGGCAAAAAAAAAAAAAAAGCATTAGATTTTAAAAAGTACCCGGTTAATGACTCTCCTTACCTAGCAATAGAAAAGTCAGTATTTCAAACCAAAAAAGGCCCTTTTCAAATGTGATTTGTTTCTTATTTCAGTTGCATATATATTTCTGGGATAAAGCAGAGTAATGTTAATGTCAGTTTGGTATGTGGAAAATTGAATTTAAATTGGTAAAATAACTGACTTAATACAGAAAAAAAAATTAAATTTAGGCAATGCTTGAAAATTCTATATTTTCTTACATGCCACTACCAAAATAAACTAATTAAATTTCTGACTATATACTCTCACACTATCAACAACAACTACAGGTCACCACATCTCAGGTTCTAACGTGGGTTGATGATATTCTTTAACCCCAACAATGAAACTTCTAATATCAAACCATAACAAAGGGTCTATCTTTCTTATAAATCACTCAGATACTTTTAACATAGTCTAAAATCCTGTAACAATAACTCTTCAAAATTTTGAGCACTTCTGACAGCTCTGGGCACAAAAGGGTTAATATAAAAATAAGACTAAAAAAAAAAATTTTTTTTTTTTTTTTCTTTTTTTTTTTTTTTTTCTTTATTCTATTTTCTCTTTTTCTTTCTCACTCATCCCTTATTTCTATAGCAACAAGAATTTTATAATAAAATAAATAAATAAATAAAAAAAGATACACGCATTATCTGTACAATTCAACCTGCCTGTGAGTGTATGTATTCATAAATGTAGTAAGAATGTTGCAATAATGCTTACATGTGGGCGTGAATCTTGGTGTAAAAATTGTGAGAAACAAATCTATATATTTTTTAATGAATTCTGATTGTTACAAAAATATTACGACTACAGCAAATAATAAAAAAAAAAAAAAACTACCTACACTGATTTCTTCTACAATTACAGAAACCAAAAAAATGAAGGATTTTAAAAACAAAAGATTTTTAATATTTGAAAAAAAAAAAAAAAAACTCAATCCATCACTTAAAGAAATTGTTATAACCTCTCCTGGCTGCCTATAATAAAAAAAAAAATTTTTAAAAATTAAAAAAAAAAAAAAAAAAAAAAAAAAGAAAGACAAAAAGCAAAATAAAAATAACAATTTTTGCAATTAACTGAAAAGAAAAAAAAACAGTAGGAGATAGCGAAAGCAAAAACATGCCAAAACCTGCCTGGAACATTCTATGGGTGTGAGTGAAAGAGAAGGAAAAGTCAAATGTGTAAACAGTCTGACATTTTCTCAGGATGTATGAAAATGGTTGATTGAATAAACCTTTTATTATGGTGTCTTGTTATTTTGTGTTTTGTTGTTATTTTCCTACCTTCTTTTTCGTTTTTTTTTTTTAACCCAGCAGTTCGCAACTATTAAAAAAAAAAAAAAAATTAAAGTCAACATGCAACCCTTATGTCCTTATGTTTCATCGAACCTATTGAAAATTTCCTGTCATAAAATGCACACCAAAAATTTGTCAAGGAAAAAAAAATATATAATTTCATCATACTTTAAAATTATTTTGATTTACAATCATAATTTAAACACATTATATGTAGATATAAAAGTGAAAAGTGGACATTGAGGTCAACACTAGGTGGCAACAGTCTGTTTCATGCTTCAATGCAATCTTCAAGCTATATTGAGCACATTTAACCATAAAAATAATTTTAAAGTATCCTATATTTATGCGTTAAAGTGATCAATATCAGGGATAGAGTGCATGCAAATATAAAAGTGGTCATTGAGGTCAACACTCAGAGGCGACAGTCTGTTTTATGCTTACATGCAATCTTCAGGCCAGAAGATTGTATTTAAGCATGAAACACTGTTGACCTCTATATTATGTATGTGTACACACACACACACACATGTATGTATAATGCTTTTTATCAGACAACAATAGCACCATCTTCCAAATGTAATAGAATTTTATTGAATATACAAATTGATTGAAAAATAAAATAAATGAAAACTAATTTAGGAACTGGCCACTCATGCAACATAAAATCTACTGTAAGTACAAAAAAATATTCTGTAAAACTTGCATTGTAAAGAAATTACTCTAGCTTTTTTTTTTTTTTTTAACATGTTGAAAATGCAAATCAAAATTTATATTGGTACATGGATGGTGGAATGGATTCTTGTAATGAGAAATCTGAGAGCTGAGTTTGAATTCCAGTTGGGTTCATTACATTCACTTAAGTGAAATACCCTTGGGGGAAAAGTATAAGTTCATCTCTTTACATCTCAGCTATAGGTTGAATAGCAGGACGGACTTGGTCCTATAGCCTTGGCTGGCAACCAGTCTACCACAAAGAAACGCCAGCCTACTGGAAATCATCAATCAAGAGAGACATTATCGCCCAAATGTGTATCACTTATGGCATTCTACACTATAAGCCTACACTTGATTTTATTAGTTTTGATTTTGTTTGTCACCAATATCTCAGCTGATACATAATATATATATATATATGGTATCTCCATTTAAGCCTGCACATCCTATTACAAGCATAAAATGATAACTAGACATTTTAAAGATATATGATTAAAAAGTATTAGGATTGGTGCTATAAAAAGAAAACTACAACACATATCAATTCATCATTTAATCACCTTCGAAGTAGTCCCCTTCTGAAGCAACACATTTTATCCAATGTTGTTTCCATTGATGGAAGCATTCTTGGAATTTCTTTTTTTTTTTTTTTTTTTGAGATGTCAGCTATTTCATTGTATTCTCTTGGATTTCCTTGATGTCTTGAAATTTTATTTCTTTCAAGTGGGATTTAATTTTTGGAAAGAGGAATTATCACAAGTGGTGAGGTCTGGGAAATATAATGGTTGTCAGGCCTGAGGAATGTTGTGGTTAGCCAAAAATTGCTGCACAAGTTACTGATGGAATCTCTGCTGGAATGATTGAAAGACAGATTTAGGAGCCATTTCAAAAAGTTCATATACCAAAAATAAATATTTCAAAATTTAAAATATTATTATTGATTACTTGTAATTACATGCATGAGTCCCAGTATAAATAGTTATAAATAATTATTGACCGATTTTATCATTGTGATATTTTTGCATTATATCAAGTTTTAAGACTAGTAACTAGACTCTGCCAACTGGAGGAGAGAGAGTTATCAATGATAATGTTGACTTTAAATCTGCAGTTATCTCCCTTTAACCATCCCTGTTTTTTTATTTTTTATTGTACTTTTATCACATAAAATTTGAGGCACGAGCAAATTTTCATTCTGAAAATGCGATCCAGAGAAAAAAAAGTTTGGGAAGCCCTACTCCACACACTTTCTTAGTGTGTATGTGCAACATAGTTCAAGGTGAATCTCTGCTAAGTGACTTTACTCTGCATACTTTAGTTCCATTACTGTAACAACAATCCTGATACTTTTTAATCAGCCTTTGCATACTGTAATACAGTTGGTTTGCATCTTAAATCTTCGTTGTATCACCAAATGGAATTCTTGAGTTTTTTCTAAGCTTACAGTGAAAATTCATCTAATTAACTATATTTCAGACTATAGACTTTTTGATCAACCCTGATATACATTAATAATACTTTTATATAATAATTCTGAACATGCTGTAGTATATGATTCTGACCCCACCCCAGATCATTCCAGAATAGACTTTGCACTCAATGTCACACCAGACTATTAAAGGATCTTAATGCAGAATTGACCTTAGGTGGCCTCCAAGTTAGTGAGTACAGTTGTCAGTGGGTTGCAAGCATGGGAAAAGATTCTATTAAAGGGAATATATAAAATATGCACCCCAGAGACAAACTGGGCAAAGTCTCTTGCATCCTTACAAGAAAATCAGAGAAAGCCCCAAAGATACATA